TTTATTCCAATCTTCTCTTTTTAAGTGGGCAGGGTGGAGGAGGGATGTCCCACAGCCAAATTACACAGTCCCTACAAATTTCCACTTCACAAAATTAATTCATTTAGGCCTTCAGTGAAGCGTGTAAGAGGCTAAACCCAGGACCCAAGTAATGTTTACAGTAGGCAAATATCAAGCTAAAATGGTCAGGGGAAAACTGTTTCCAGTGTTGTGTTATGCTTCTTCAGTGTTAGGTATAAACAGAAATTCAGAAGAAACATGACGGTGTAAACAGCTGTAAAATAGACAATCCTTTGTGCTCAGAGCAGGAGGCAAACGAGCTGATTGAGAACAGCAGCAGAAAGAATATAAAATGGCTGGTCTGCCTGTCTAGCTACAGTCACCAAGCCAGGTTTTCTGCAAGGCTTTCCAAGAAACAAAAACAAACAAAACCTGCATTTAAGTGTACACAAACAGCATGCAGTCATTGTCAAGCTGTACTCCTACAAACATTGAAACAGACAGAAACTTCCTAAAGATCACTTCCACTCTGGATGCCACTTACTGCAAGCTCCTAAAACAGTGCCTGACGTAGCTGAAACATGGGGGAAAAGCTGGCAAACTTTGTTTTCTGTGCTCTTAGTTGCTAGAACATGGGTTTCAGGTAAAAAGTCACTTTCAGTCAGTTGACAATTTGTTCTTAAGTAATAGAAGTCGTCCAAGCTTTCTTCCATAGATCTTAAAGAAAAAGCTAGAACAAAACTTTTGCTCTAGCCTCAGGTTTGATACCTGAAAATTGGACTTTAGTTATTTCTTATGTAAGACAACATAACACGCTATATAAAACACAAATACCATTTATTTCCGTAGAAGAGTCTGCCTTTGTCTAACAGTGAGTCAGCATCATCTGACAGATCAATTTTCTCTAAGTGTAGGATGTGGATTTTGCATATCACACTCTCCAAGGGCACCTGTTGGAAACTTGGGTCGCTACAGCGTGGAATTTCACACCACACATAAGGTCAACTCAGTGGCCTCCCAGCACATCACAAAGTCTCATCAATAAAAATGAGACTGACATGAGATACCTCAAGTTTTCTGCCCTCCAGATCTACCTTTCTATAATGAGGACACAACATTTCATAAGACTTTCTTGGCTCTTTCTGAAGYTGTGCATGTGTCTTATATCCACAGGATCAAGAGGAGGGACCTCAGGAGGCCTTTAACTCTACCTCCTGCCCAAAGGTAAATCAGCTGTGAGGTCAGGTAAGGTTGGTCAGTTTTAAGCAGCCCAGTCTTGAAAAACYTCCCAGGGTTTTCAGTGTCTCTGGGGACCGTGTTCCAAAATTTACTTGTCCTGATGTTGAAAACCTTTTTTTTGTGATCAGTCTGAACCTCTGTTGTTTCAGTCTCTGATGGTGATGTCCACCATCATCATTCTGGCTATCACCACTGTGAGCAGCCTGGCCCTGTCTTCTCATAAGCCCCCAGAGATGTGGGCAGGCTGCTGTTTGGTGTCCCCAAAGCCATCCCTTTTCCCAACCTAGATCCCTCAGCCTCTCCTCACGGGGAAAGTGCTYCAGACCATGCTGACCCTGGGGGTTCACAGCTGTAGGGAGTGTTCCAGGTGCACTCCAACACATGCTGAGCACAAGGAAGTAATCGCTTTGCTCAATCTCCTGTCTGTGCTCCTGCTAATACAGCCTGGGATGCTGCTGGCCTGTATTCCCAGGCCAGCTGCTGGCTCTTGCTCAGCCTCCTGTCTGCCAAGGCCCTGGGGTCCATCTGAGTAGAGCTGCTYTCCAGCCTGTCAGTCCCTGGTCTGTACTGTTGAAAACTCCCAAAATATTTTGATATTAAGTCTGTGGGGATGGCCAAGACACTTGCCCCATGGCACACAGAGCAGAGGCTCCCAGATCTCCCATCTGCAATAGAAGCCAAGATTAACTTCATGTAGACATTAAGCTAAAATGATGTTAATGCATTTTTCTCAATAACTTTAAAATAAGTGTACAATTTTCTCTGTATTCTTGTATCTGTAAAAGAGAACAGCTGCTGTGAGGTGTTCCTTTCCTCCAAGCACGGTTGTTTATAGTAAAGAAGACTAGGCTTTGATCAGTTGCTTATATTTRCTAAATTGATTCCAACATCTTTGTCAGTGGGCTGTATGGTTTCCCAGCATGAGATGCTCCTGCTCATTTGAAGTGGTTGAGATTGTTTTTCAATGGAATTTTCCATTATGCCCTGTACTATCTTTCTTCAAAGCACAATTTGTTCACTGGGTAGTACTCCTCGTCCAACATAACATGCAGAACCATTGCTCAAGACTTTTGTTTTCCTCCCAAGTGCTTTACCTCCATCTATTCTCTTGTCTCAGCCTAAGTTTCCTCTCAAAGCTCTCACAGGTAACCTGATGTTTGTTACCAGTTGCTGGGTCTTCTTTGTTTCCCCCCGCCCCATCTCTGCAGTATAAAAATTTTGGAGGCACTCGAGGTTTCCCAGGGAAGATACAATGCCACATAGGCTSGGGATGAGCAGACAGACCACGCCCGGGAGAAGGACTTGGGGGTGCTGTGGGTGAGAGCTCTGTCCATGTGTGCTGGGACCCAGAGCCCCATGGGCAGCAGAGGAGGGGGGATTCTGCCCCTCTGCTCTGCTGAGCCCCCCCTGCAGAGCTGCATCCAGCCCTGGGGCCCAGCACAGCAAGGACAGGGAGCTGCTGGAGCCAGTCCAGAGCAGGGACACCGAGGGGATCAGAGGGATGGAGCAGCTCTGCTGGGAGGAAAGACTGAGAGAGTTGGGATTGTTCACCTGGAGAAGAGAAGGCTTTGGGGTGACCTCACTGTGGCCTTGCAGTGCCTGAAGGGAGCCCACAGGAATGATGGAGAGAGACTCTTGACAAGGGCCTGGAGTGACAGGACAGGGGGAATGGCTTCACACTGACAGAGAATATGTTTGGATAGCATATTAGGAACAAATTCTTCCCTGTGAGGGTGCTGAGGCCCTGGCACAGGCTTCCCAGAGAAGCTGTGGCTGCCCCATCYCTGGAAATGTTCAAGGGCAGGTTGGACAGGGTTTGCAGCAACCTGAGATAGTGGAAGGTATCCCTGCATATGGGCTGGAACGAGATGATCTTAAGGGTCCCATTCCACTCTGTTTCTACTTTCCCCACTTGTGTTATAAATATGTTAAAAATATGTTATAAATGACACAGAGCCAGTAATCCTGTATGCCCTACAATTCTTGACTGAATACAAGGAGATCACTACCATCACACAGTGAGTTTCGAAAAGAGATGTTCAAACCCCAATAGCAGCAGCTGGACAAATCAGCACAGAAATCCACATCTCCAGGCCCCAAATTAATGCTTTGTCCATTAGACAGCTGCAGCAAATCAATGTTTCCCCTCCTTTTTTGCRTCAGACCTAACAGAAGATAAAAATCCTGAGCTGCAGACTGTGAAAGAGGAGGTGAAGATTTATAAGACCCAAAGTACTGAAAAATCAAACACTTACAAGGGAGCTTATTTACACCTCTGGTTAAGGTTTGCTTCCAAGTGTGATTAACTATTTGATACAGAAACACACTTTAACATTAAGTGGGCTAGAATATTCAAATAAACAGCAACTAGAAGAAAGGGTTTCCACAGTGAGGCTGCAGAAATACAGCAATTTTCAAGTATAAAAAGCTACGATATGAAATTWAAAAAATTGTGGTTCCTGAAGATGTACACGGTCTACCACAGGTCCCAAGTTAACAAGTGTGAGGTGATGCACATGTTAAGCAATAAAAGGAATCTACTCTATGAAGATCAAACCCCTTTTCCAGCAACATACAAATCTCAATTTAAGATTGCTTAAAAAAAAAATACACTTAGGCTTTGCAAAACCCAAACTTTTCCCTCTTTTAAAGTCTACTAGTTCAAAGAATAAGCAAATAAACAAAAATTCACCCCACCCCAATCCCAACCATTATTAGATGCACTGGACAGAGTTTTTCCAGGAGAAACCAAAACAAGCTCTATGACTGACTTCAAATGAAAATCTCGCCACTCATGCCTCCCCAGGACATGGGCATAATAAATAAAAAACATGTGGCTCAATACACTGCCACAGGCCTGGAGTTGTACTGTAGTCTGTTCACCCTCCRAAGTTTTTTCCTTCTGCAGAATCTAATAGTACAAGAGTTTCACAAGAGCAGACTAAATTTATTAAGCAATGAAATATCAGTCTGATAAAGTACTTTTGGTTTTAGTAATTGTTAAGAGGTAGGAACACCTTTGTCTTTTTTAATCCACAAAACACTGTGTTGTGCTACACTTGTTCTTTCACTGGGGCAGTAGAGTGAGAGACTGCATCTCATTCCTTAAGGATGAGCATGATAAAAGAATATTTGAATTCCTCTGATTTGTCTGGATGCAACAGCAATGTGTAACTTTCAAGTCAATTACTGAGTATTTCATATATAGAAACAGGTTATTTTGACCAGGAAATGARCAAATGTTATGTGGCAAYAAATAACATCCTGCAATATGCAAGGCTGGTAGCTCAAAAGAACAGAAAATGACCAAGTTTTACCCCAAATTCATGCTGTGAACCATATATTATCAGCTGGCTTGATTTAAATATCAAAAAAAGATGCTGGTATTTCTACAGTTCTGCAACAAAGGGCAAAAATTCCTTCATTGATTGTGTGAAGATAAAAACACCTCTTTAGAGAACCCTGGGGACAGCAGGCATCTTGCTGCTTATGATCACAGCATTCATGTGGCAGCCACTGCTTACACTGAAAAGCAACTTTATGTAATAAGCTATTTTCAGTTTTCTCACTGCTAATTTTTACCCAGTCATCCAATGCTTCCTCATCACTGCTTGCTTTAGAGGCACACACCAGTTGCCAAGAGAGCACAGAACATCAGCAAAAGCACAGAAGTGGCACAAGCAAGTAAAAGCAAGTGTGTCAGTGGCAACAGTGGAATCAAAGGATCATTTGTGAGATACACGCAATAATAAATGTTAATATCAGATACCTGCAGGTTTATTTCTTTGTAAATGAGATGCCAATAACAAGAACAATCATTCTGCAAACATCAGTTTACTTATCCTTTCACATGCTCTGTAAAGGGTGGTAAGCCAGTCAATCAGCCATAGGAATGCAAAATTACCATATCTATTTATTAAAATAGATGACCACCACTGTATTCACAGTACTGTCTCCAGGGAGCTGTGGCCAAYTCAAATGCGTCTGAGGCTTACAAAAAAAAAACATACCATGACCGTAGTGGGATTTAGTTATACAAATAATTCTAACATGTAACAAATTCAACTGAAGTCCTATGTGTGAACAAAAAGCTCATTTGAAGTCAAGGAAATACGTATCAAYCCACACAGATCCAGAACAGATGCGTTTCCCACACAAAACCCGCAGCCGAGCTGTGACAAAGCCGCTGCTCCCGACGCGGAGCAGAGAGCGGAGCAGCCTCGAGGTGGGGCCGGGCCGTGCACTCCATCAGCGGTGCATCCAGAGGCGTTCCCSAGGCTCTTGGGCAGGGCCATGCTGCCCTCTGGCGCTACGAGTCGGGCAGGGGCTGGCTGTGGGTGCCGCTCCTCGTCTTCAACTGCGACTGGGCGATGTCGGCCAGCGCGCTCTGGATCTTTTCCAGCAGCACATCGCCSCGATACACAACCTCCTCCAGCCGCGCCGCCGCCTCGTGGTTCTCCTCCTCCAGCCGGTACAGGCTCGCAGCCTTCAAAGTAAAACCGAAATGATGCCGACAGTTTTTTTGAGTTTTAAGTATTTTTCATGTATTCGTAGCTTTTAAGGCTACTATTACTTGGTCATGTAGCTCCTAGTATTTTTCCTAACCTTTCTCTTAGATTTTAGGACAATAAGATAACTTGGACTCTGTTTAGTCACATTCTTAAGAAGCAGCAGCCTGACAAAGATGCTTTGTTTTCCGACCAGAATTTGAGAAGACACAAGAAATGTGGCAAGGAAGCTCCTGGAACAACTCCAGTGGAGCAGAATCCAGGGAAAATTACAAAACCAACTATTCTTCTAATTGGACAATATTTATTAGATATGCTGATTTGTTAAACTTATAAAATTGTAGAAAAAATCCAATGCCAGGTGTGCCCACGACCATCAGGACACCTGGAAGCTTCCAATAAAGGCCTGCTTTTTATTTCACAGTTTTAACAYTGGTTTAAGCGTTTCCTCTTTTGATATTAGGCCACAGGGAAAAGCAAGGATCTTCAACGGAACCCAAAACTGACTTTGCTGCTCAAGGATACTGAGGGAACAGCTGGTGCTCCCTAAAAAAAGAAAGGTTTCCTTTTAGCTCCTCAATTACATCCTAACAACTTCAGAGCAACTTGCTACAGCTTGCACCCTAAACCAGTGCATATTCACAGGGAATAAACACCAAAAAATACTAAATAGGAATTTTAGCTTCTTTCATGCCATGGCTCTTGGTTCAGTACAGATCTTCTTATGAGAAATATTTATTCTCTACTGAAAGGATCTCTACTCAGCAGAGCTTAATTTAAACCTTTCATCTTTCAGATGAAACTGTATTATTTAACTTCTTCAGCTTCAAACTTCTTTTCAGTTGGACAAAATATAGTGAAATAAAACATTTAAACTTTGAAGTATTTCAATACTTTAAAATATTTACCAAATTTAAATCGACTAAAACTCATTCTAACTGAATAACAGAAAAAGCAATGCAAAATAGTTTAAAACTGGTATTTTCTTAAAGTAGTTATACAGATCCTTAAGAAGTCCTGCTTATATACAAACTGGCAAATTCTATCCAGATATTCAACTTGTCTTCTGCAAGACTGATGTCTWTAATGAAGGTTAATGTAGGAGTGAAGGACTTGACAGCCTATGGAGGAAAGGTCACAGAAGGAACRTGGCAAAGATAAAAGACTGAAATTTAGAATCCAGATCAACTACTTCAGTCTTAGTTGTTCAAYAGTTAACTGCAGGTAATTCACAGAATTTGTACTGTCAGCTTCACTAAAAGGGAAATCAAAAGGGGCAGGTCAATTGTCTTAAGCATTAGTGTAACAGCTCCCTCCATTCATCTTTTAAGACAAGACTGAGATCTGAAACATACACCAAGACAACTTCAGTATAAAAAAGCAGATTGGCCTAAGTACATCTTTCAGCCAAGTATTATCTACCACTTCTCAACAAAACCTATACTGCATATTTTAGTGCTTCAAGCACTTTCAGAATTGTTTCTTTGAAGGCTGTCAGAATATTTAATACTGCACCAAATTAAGCAATAGAAAATAAAAATCAAAACTGGAATCAGTAAGTGATGGAACCCAAGCTAATTTATCTTAAAACCACACCAGACAGAAAATATCAGAAATTCTTGTGACATGAAGTTCTTCAKAAAGATAGCAAGAAACTGTTGAAGTGTCACATCTAAGGAAAGCATTTCCCCCTGGGTAACCAGCTCCTCCTTCTGGAGCACTCTGTTTTGCCCACATCAGCTGCCACTATGATCAGACCCTGCTCAGTCACGGAAGAAACTGGAATTTGTCTGCAGCAGGCATTCTATCTTCAGCTATTAAAAATGCACTTACATGAAATTATGATGGTGTTAACAAGCCCAATTAGTATGTTCAGCAACTACTGGGASTAGCAAAGTTTCCAAATTTAGCCTCCTCTCTTTAAAACAAAACGTGATGCCACTGCCAAGTCATTTATATTTGGCAYATTTAGTGTTAGTCTTTTGTAAAACATCTTTGAATGGTTACAGAGTATCAACCCTGTCTAAAACCTTCTTAAGAAGGTTTAAAACCTTCTTAAAGATGATCATCAGGGTTGTCAGGGAAACAGCACTGTGCATCCTTTCTGTATCCCAAAAAGAAAATACTTGATATAAATCTAGCAGTTAAGAGTCAAAAAGAAAAAAAAATTGCTGTTTATTAGACAAAATCTGTAGAAACAACAGAAAAAAAAAACCCCAAATTAAAAACCAAGTTTGGCCGGTTCAAAGGACTACTTGTTATGGAAAAGTGATGGAACTGTCTTGGAAMAGAGCTAAAGAACTTAAAGACCACTCTGCAAACTCTTTAACCAGAAACAATGTGGAAGAACAAAAGATTTTTGTAAAGTGTTSGTTTTGCAGCTGCAAACTGAAATGCGAGAAAATATGAAATATTATCCAAGGGAAAAARACCCAAACAMATGCACAAAACATGAGTATTTTTCCATCTGTTCTGTTAATATCTGAAAAAAAGGGTGAGCAGTTTCCAGTAGAGTGGTGGTGTGATAAAAGCACTGTTCTAAAAAACATTTTAGCAGAAAACTAAGTTKAAAATACTGTCACTGAGTATAATCTTATTTAGAACTAGATGTAATTTCATTATTTCTACTAAGCCTAATAAGTACTAACAGGCTAAACCTCATGAAAAAATCAGGTTTGTATTAAAATAACTTTTCAAGATGACATGGCCTAGAGATGAAAAAAACATGTTAAAAAAAAATAAGGTCGTTTCTCTTCAGAAACGTTCTGATACTGGAATTAGGAAGACTAGTACCTGCAAAGCTGCTGTGGATTCTTCGCTGGGCAGGGAATCTATGAGAACATCGATATCCTTGGCAGTGCGCGCGATCAGAGCTGCGAACAGCTGGGCGTACTCTGCACAAAACAYAGAACAACTCAGGCAATCACTCAGGGTATTATTAGAAACAAGCACAATTCTGTTGTCACAATGTTACGCAGAAAATGCAGCTGACATCCATTCACCACTAGACCTCCATCACTCCACCAGCTACAGGGGTAGCTGAGCCCGGATTTTGCATTCCCGAGCGCACTACATCAAAACACGTTCGCATTAAGTCAGGAGATGAGGGAAGCCGGACTTGCCTTCCGTGGGGTTCGCGGGCTGATCCTTGTTTATGGCCGTCTGGATGTTGCTGAAGGAGGCCGGCGGGCCGCACTGCTGCAGCACTCCGATGGCGTTACAGAACTGGTCTGCGAGCTGCCGGCACCAATAAACATGGCGTTAATCACCCTACCCCACCGCTACAGCCACCTCCGGCTCACGGCGCATTCCCGCCCGCGCAATACCCCCGCCGTGAGAGCGGAGGGCCTCACCGAGTTGACGGCGTCCTGCAACTGTGTCAGCCGGTCCGCCATGGCGGCCGCCACCACCGCCCCTGAGGAGCGGCCACGCGGGAAGCGCGCCCCCTGCCGGCCGGGAGGAGCCAACGGCGCGGCCGCGGGCTCGGSCCGACTGCAGGGTCCGGCATTCCCGGCGCTTCGGTTCCTTCGGGAACGGATGTATTTGCCATGGTAGCGGGGTAAAAAAGCCCCAGATCGCTATGGGATCCTGTGAGGAGCTGCTGAGGGAGCTGGGGGATGTTCAGCCTGGAGAAAAGGAGGCTCAGGGGGTACCTTACTGCTTTCTACAACTCCCTTACAGGAGGAGGGTGCAGCCAGGTGGGGACGGGCTCTGTTCCCAGGAAACCAGCGACAGGACGAGAGGGAATGGCTTCAAGCTGCATCAGAGGAGGCTTAAGCTGGACATCAGAAAGAATTTCTTCATGGGGAGGGTGGGCAGACATTGGAACTGGCTCCCAGGGAGTCACCATCCCTGCAGGTGTTTAAGGTAAGACTGGACTTGGCACTCAGTGCCATGGTCTGTTTTACGCCATGGTGTTCGGTCACAGATTGGACTCGATGATCTCAGAGGTTTTTTCCAACCTAAGGGGTTCTGTTACTGCCACGGCGTGGACAGCTTTTGCTGCTCAGCAGTCGCTCTGATCCCAGCTGAAAGCGGCAGCAGCAGCACTCAGGTGCTCTACTCCTGCTCCGGACTGAGCAGGCATCACGCCAGTGTGGTATCCCCAACAAGCCAGCTTGGAGCCAGCACCGGCCTCTGTGTCCAGGGGTTGGAGAATAAATGCCATTTGTGCCAGTCGGTATGTGCCCATCCTTCTTATATCTGACWGCTGGGTACAATGCCAGCCTTCACACAGGTCGACCTTTAAGATCATCTCATTCTAACTCCCTGCGGTGGACAGGGACACCTTCGAATATCCCAGATTGCTCCAAGCCCTATCCAGCCTGACCTTGGATGCTTCCAGGGATGGAGCAACCRCAGCTTCTCGGGGCAACCTGTGCCAGGACCTCCCCACCTGTCACAGGGAAGAATTTCTTCCCAATATCCAATCTAAACCTACTCTCTGTCATTTTGAAGCCATTTCTCTTATTCTGTCACTACATGCCCTTGTATATAACCACTCTTTAGCCTTGTCAGAGATGCTGCGGGCGCAGCAATGATAGAAACTAATCCACCCAAAGTGCTTTCCCGACAGCACGGTTGGGCGAGGATTTTGTTTGCCTGCACATGTGAGCTGGGAGGTAGGGTCTCTCCAGGTTAAAAACCCACGTCCCAAACTGCTGATCCCAAACCCCAGCGTACATTTCTAAGGAGCTGGCAGCTGTTCCCACATCCGAGAGATTCCTTCCCGCACTCGCAGCGCCCGTCCCGGCAGCGCCTTCCCTCAGGTGCCGGAGGGGGGCGGGCGCGGCCTCTGCCGGGCGGGCCCCGCCTGCGCACCGCCCCCAGCGCCCGCCCTGCCCCAGTGCCCGGCCCTTCCTCAGCCTCAGCCCCCTTCCCCGATCCCTCTGCAGAGCTATGCGGGTCTCACCTTGCCCCGCGCTGCTCCTGCTGCTCCTGGGGGTCCTGCGCCATGGCGGAGCCTCAGGTGAGGGCGGCGTGCGGCGGAGGAGSGGGGCGCGTTGGGTTGTGGCCGCCATTAAGCGGCCGGAGGAGCCCGGCTCGCCCGGGAACGGGGAGGCTGTGCCCCGGTTAATGTCCAGCGGCAGGCACGGCAGGGCGCTTGCTGCGACTGTAGCGCCTCTTGGAGGTGTCCCCGGTGCTGGCGGGGCGACCTGCTGCTGTCCGGAGGGATGAGCCGGGGTGGGGAGCAAAGCTGGCTGCGGCACTGCAGAACCGCGGTGTGCATTCATGGTTGTCTTAATTTTCCACGAGGACAAGGAGAGCCACCCTTTTTTTCCTCTTTCAGTCGCCCCCCCCCCCCTTTATTTTTTCACTCCTTAATAACTATGAACGCCATAACTTTAACCCTTTCATGGACAACACGGAATCATTTTAACGGCGCCGTTGCTTGCAGGGATGCGGTGCCGCTGGTGTGGCTGCTGTAGGGCTGTATTCCCTGYACAGAAACAAGGTGGCATTGGCTACTTATGAACATCAGTTTATATGACAAAGGGAACATGGCTAAAAGTATGATTACTTTTGTTTMGTTTTGGTTTTTTATTCCCCCCCGACCACGTATAAGTTGTCATGGGTTCTSACCACCCAGTGGATGATGGTTTGAAAACCACTGTCTATAAAACTGAGGAAAGGAGCAAAACCTATGATTTACAGTTTGGTCCCTAAAGTTCCTTGTTGTCTGTACTGATGTAATCTGACTTTATTTGGCATGGGCTTTTTTGGTAATTTCCCTGTATTCCTGCATGTGACTAAAATAGGAGTCCAGAGTTAAGTTATAAGTGCTATAATAAGCATAGTTTGGGAAGATTTACAGTCACTTCTTTTTTTTTTTTTTTTTTTTTTTTTTTCTTATCTTTTGGGTGGTTTTTTTTTTTTTTTTTTTTCTGGTTAAACTCTTATCTGTTCAAATAAAGGAAAAACTAAACGGTTTCCTCTCAGAGATAATTCATAGATAAGCAAACAGTCCTTCACATAAGGGCTGATATAAAGCTAAGAGKCTTCCTCCTCTTAGTTTTGCTTTATTTTTAAACTTGCTTCTAATCGTARAMTGGTTTGGGTTGGAAGAGACCTTAAAGCTCATCTCSTTTCAGACCCCCTGCCATGGGCAGGGATACCTTCCACTAGACCAGGTTGCTCAGAGCCCCACCCAACCAGGMCTTGAATGAATAAAGCTTAATTGTCCCGAAGGAGATTGTTGGGTTTTTTTACAGGGCTTCAGGACAGCATTGGGAACCAGTCCCAAATGTGGAATGCTTCTCTCTGCTATACCCTGCTCCCTCTCCCAGTCTCATGCCCAATATCTTAAAGGAGAGCCAAGTATTCCCTATTTCTTCTAAGAGCTAAAAGCTTTGGCTGGGCACCTGATGGTGGCAAGGAGGTGCGAGAATGAAGGTTCAGGATTCTTAGACCTTAATGTTTATATTAAAGGATGCTGGCAAGCAGTTTGTCTCCTGGACTTGATGAAAATGGGTCATGTGTTGAGTAATTTTTTTACGGCATGTAAAAAGGCAAAGTAACTATGGGACTAAGCAAACTGCTTTGCCTTGAAGGATCCTGTTGCTGGTTTTCCTTGCATGATTGAGGGTGGAGGGGGAAAGTATTTTCCTTGTGAAAAGCTAATAAGCTGTATAATTWGTGTACCAGAGTATAGCTGATCATTAGGCCCTTTAAACAAGGCCACTTGCTTAATGGTTCACTGATTTGAAATTGTCTCGTGGTTATTCAATTGTGGACACCCACTTTGCAGGGATGGGCTCTGCTAACGCCTAATACTTGAAGATCCTGCTTCATTTTAGAAGTGCTGATTACTAAAATCTTTGCATGATGGCCTCTGTTAACCTCTCTRGGCTCCTGATGGGCTGCAGCTCTTCAAACTTGGTTTTTGTGCAGAGGTGTTTTATATATTGTGTTTGTTGCTGTTCAGGGAGCTCTGTTTTCATGAGGAGCACCTCAACTGGCTGAATTTGCTACATCCAAACTGGCCYGTTTAGTGCTGGAAAAACTAAAGTGAATTTATAGTGTAATCAGGACTGAGCAGTGCTTTTGCAAAGGGAGCTTATCTGAATGAAATTTGTTTGTGCCAGCTGTTGAGTCTATGCAGRGACAATATTTTATAATAAGAGGTTCACAGAAAACTCTTCCCTCACTTTTCAGGCTGTAAAGACCTCTCCTCTGGTGAACGAGTATAGTCCTCTGGCATGGGAACGGTGCAGKTGGCGACTAGCCACAATCTGTGGTGTCATCTGCTTTAAGCACGAGTCTCAGTACACACAATCAAAGTTTAGAAGCTTTCATTTATGTTCTTGCTCCTTTTGGGAGTGGGGTGGGTGCTATCTTTTTTTAGGGACCCGCTGGCATGCAAATCCTTGTAGCAGGACCCTCCCATGCATTCATGTCTGCATGGCCTTACAGGTCKGATAGAATATGACTCCAGGCTTTATTCTGTTAAGTAACTGTATGCTAATGTTTTTCTTACTCAAACTGGTAGTTAGTCTGAGCTTGCACTWCATCTTCATTAAAAATCTTCATGTGACTACTTGTTGTCATACTCCCTGCACTGGAAAGTTCTCCTTAACTCCTGGAGCTTGCTTACGTCAGGTTGTTCTGCATATCCTCTGCAAGGTACAATAGAAATTTATTTTCTCTGACTGCAGAGAACCTCTGTCAGGGAAGCATAATGTTTGGGCATGGCTCTGTAGGTGAAAACTGTTCTTGTGTGGACAGCAATGTAATTTCTTCAGTTGTCTTTCTTGCTGGAAATTATACTGCTAGGTGTAATCAAGAATCTTGGGTGGTTAACTGCTCTGTGGTGGTGGGGAATAACACTTGGCTATTGGAGCTGGAAATGTGRTTTACTCAGAGCATCAAGGGAGCCAAGAGCTTGGCACTGAATAAGCAGAATGGAAACCGTTCAAGCTGGGTGTTGCCTGTTGGGGAAACTGTGTGTCACAGGGAAGGGAAAACAAATGCAGAGGCTCTGGAATTGTCTTATTGTTTGGAGTTAGTTAGGAATAAGGATTTTTGATCTCAGAAGAGCTCCAGGAGGTTCCATTTCTTTGCTGTCTTTACCTGTTTTGCACTTCATCTGAGAGAAATGATATACAATGTGAGGTGACAGAGTGGGCTGTTAGCTCTGTTCATCAGTTCTGTATGCAGGACTATCTGTGCTCCAGTTCTGGTGCTGGTACTGGCATATGSAATAATACATGCTCAGTGATCCGTCTTTGCTCTGCTGCTGCTCAGTTTCAGCAATGCTGACTTCCTCTGAGCCTCTGTTCAGTTGATAAGCTCTGTAATAGAGGGGGTTCTTCTCTTGTATCTAACCCAAAATTACTTTGATATGCAGTGACTGTTGGAACTCTCCCTACAAGGCAAGGAAGAGTGGGCACCTTAGAGTGTTTCCAGACTTTCAGTGTTGGGTGCAGTAAAACAAGTTGGGGTGTCTGGATTTTGCTCCTGTTGCTGACTTGCTGGATCAACTCTCACTTGTGAGGTGGTTTCARCTGTTTTGCCTGTGCTGCTGGTCCTGCAGATCTGTCTGGTGGGCCACTTCCAGAGAGATCAAGCTTGCCCAAAGGAGAAGGTTGCATGCTGTGGCCAGCACTATGTAGTCATGGAAGTCTCTGTGTCTGTCCTTCAAAGGATATTTGACTGAACTCTCTGTGGTTCAGGGAGTCTAATACCTGTCTGSTATTAAAATCAGACAGCAATAGGCCTGGTGAATTATGAGTTGGTTAATTTAATAATTAGTCTTGYTCACCATCTTTCCTTTCTGTCTCTGTAACCAGGAGTGACTTGATTAAACAACAGAGATGGAGAAGTCTGGAAGGGGACTGTGATCTCTGGCTGTGGAGCAATTGCTCTTCCAAAAGCTTCTTAGAAGATTCTATTGCTCTGCAGTGCTCATCATCTTTCAGGCCTGACTGGAAGTATGGTTTGAAGAGCCTGTGAGCAGCAAGCTGAATAATATTTGTGTGATGGATGTAGATGTTCTTGTTCTTCACCCTGAGTCTCTGCTCTTCTGCCCAGACTTTGGGATAATGCGGGTCACATGCACTGTTTTCAGAGCTATTATGCAAACAGTATAGCAATATGGAACATGTACCTTAATTTACCACGCTAATTAAACTTGAGAGAGTGCCTCTGACATTCAGAGTCTCATGATCATGCTGAAGTAGAGGTTGTGTGTCTTGCTGATGAATCTGTCTGTGTTTATGCAGAGGCCCCTGGGTATGGCTACAGAGTGGAGGTGAGAAACAAGGCGGAGCTAGGCAGTTTCTCTCATTGATGTGGATCACACAAAGAATGTGTATGGTTTCAGTTTTTTTTTCTTAAAAAAACGTCCAAGTATGAATGTCTTGTGGTTCAGGAAGCTCTTAAAGATCAAAGAAAAACATTTTTCCTGCATTCTAAGCTTTCACTGCAAATTTTTGAGTGTATAGATGTACAGACTGTCCCTTCTGAGTGCTTTTCTTTAGCATTCATACTGCTAGTTACATTTCTGGTAGAACTTGAGCTAATGAGGAAAGAGATCTGAAGACATCTGAATGCTGCTCAAGGGACCCTGAAGAATCAGAAACTGAAGGATTCACAAAGGGGTTTTTTTGCAGCTTTAATTTTACATTAATTACTGGTTGAAAATTTAGTGTTGAAACTTCTACCTCAACACAAACTGTAGATGATGGAACAGAAAAAAATGGAGAGTCTTTCTTTCCTCACAAGTGGTTTAAGATACCCATATTTTAGCTGAGGTTTTATTGGTGTTGCAGTACTGGYATTAATTGAATTTTGGGAGTGAGCATATAAGGGTTGAAGTTTCTTCACTGTGTCATGAGTGGAGGAGGCTCATATGAGGGTGGGAGCTCCCSTCTGTTTACATGTCAAGAGGCAAAGAAACTGGCCAATTATGTCAGTTCTTGGCAGGAGAGAGACAAAAGTAACAGGACAGGAATTAGTACTGGATACAGTTTCAGATAAGAAAACTGTCCCTTCCCTTGCGCATGGGAGCCCCACTGTGTCATCAGCAAGTGTCCATGGGATGGTGCTGCTGGTGGTCTGTGTTAGGGTACTTCGCAGTATCAACCCGTTRCACTGGAGGCAACTTCATTGGGGAAATAAATATGTGTGTGTTTAGGCTTGATAAGCTTTAGGGCTGTTTGGGTGCCCTATGCCCGCAGCGGAATTCAGGGAAAAGCCTGGAAGGCATTGTGCAGTCTGGCTRCAACCACCAACCAAAGAGCATCATGTGGCTTGTGTGTGGCTGCTTCGCTTTCCTCCTTTGGCACCTCCTGTCCTTCCAGAGCCCAGCACGGGTAAAAGCCAGGCTTGCTGGCAGGACTTGAATGACAAGCCAAAGCTGATGCTCAAAGATCTTACATCCTAGGTCATGTGGTTCTCTTTAAAGTGGCAGTGGATCATGGGGTCATGCTCATTGTAAGAAGAAATGGTCTAGGTTATGTCTAGGAAAATTAATCAGATTTTTAGATACAGGAATCAGAATTCAGCAGTCCTAATATTTAAAAATAGTTTAAGAAGAAACAACGTGGAATAGCTGAAAGTGGGTAAATAAATGTCTGTATGTAAACTACAGATTTGACTCTGTCTTCCAGAAGTTGACTCCAATTYCCATTGTCAATAGGAATTCACCTGGAATGTCTAATGGATATTGTRAAGGTTGGCTTGCTGATACAGACATAATCACCTGATTTGCCAAAGATCAGGCAGTCCTCAGTATCTTCCCCTACTGACCTTTTGCAGTGTATCTGGCTGGTTGGCTGAGCTGGTGAGCTCAGCTATATCAAATCCTGACTCCTGTGAGGAAGCCCCGTCCCTGTGCTCRGGTCAGTGCCAGGCTGCAGGGCAGGTGCTCTGGCTGTACCTGTATCTGTAGGTACTGCTCTGTGTGTGGCAGTCTCTGAAATCTTGGTACAGCTCACAGGATGAGAGCAGCACAAAGCAACATCCTGCTCTGCTCCAGCTGACTAATACTGGGCTACTGGAAAGTTCCAGGCTTCCCTCATAATTACTTCCCTCTGGACCAGAAAAAAAAACTGTATCTTCCTTTTTTTTTTGTAATGGCAGGTCTTCTTGAGCTCTCCTTGGGAAAATTCAGAAATGTGCTACTTAACCAGACCAATCCAGTGGAGGCTGTAATCAGGAACATTGCCAGCAACGTGACTGTGGTTATTTTTCAAGTGCATGCCCAGCAGAATGATGTGGTGATATCCTTTGATAAGGTAARAGTGTCACTTCTGTTAAGTGCTGCCTCTCTTTCAACAAAGGGYTTGGCTCTGGTACATGTAGGACTATTGAACTGAAGCTGTATAAATAATGAGTATCTTTTACCTGCTTGGCTTTTAGACAGTATTACTGTAGCTTCAGAAATCCTTTCTTGTGCTTATATGTCATAGCTGCTATTTTGAAGGACTGAATGCTAAAGAAATTTCAGAGTGGGCTTGAAAATGTTTCAAGGCTTTTTATTTACCAGAAGTGGTGCTTTTGACATRTGGCTGTACTGACTGCTGTCCATCAGCTTGTCAGATTAAAAACAGATCTGTGTAAGTGTTTGCCAGGTGCCTTATGCATGACCACCTTGGGATGTTTAGTTTTCTGCTGTTTCCATGGCTTGGATCTAACCACTCACAGATATGACATGTTGCTATCCCAGCTCCAGAAATTCTTGCACAGTATTCCAGTGAAAGCTGCTACTTCTAGACAGCRATGAAAGCATTCCTGCTGCTGTACACTGCATCCCAGTAATGAAGGGACAAACTGAGRCTGATCTAAAATACTGATTTTGTTGTTGTTATGGTGCTGGGAGGCTCTGACTGGTATTTGAACAGAACATTGAGTTGAAAATGGKAGATGAGGGTCTGACAGCTGCTATCCAGTTCCCCTCTCTCCACCAGGATCTTTGAAATGAGAATATACTGAGTGCCAAGAAGTATCCTGGGAAGCTTTAGAAGATGAATGACCTGTAACAAAAGTCACCCAGCTCAACCATCCTTGTGCTGGTGAAAAAGCCAGGATTACAGGGCTGAGGCATTACTGTTACAACTGTTCATTCTTTGCTTACCACTGGTAGAATCYTGTGCTGCCAGCTCAGATCTCTTTGCATTCATGGGCCTTACTAGGCCAAGGGCAGTGATGCAAAAATACAGCTATAGTGCTTTTAGGGCTGGACTGCCTCTAGAAATATGCAGTTGAGYTAGACCTTAAAGTCTGCCAAGGCCTCTGTGCTTCCTTGCAGTGTTGCCTTGGGTAACTGTGGCTGCCTTGGCCAAAGGCACACTTTCCATGCTGAAAATGTGACTGCAGGTCAATTGGTTGTTTCAGCTGTGGGACTGTGATACTGACATTGCTGCCTGATCTTTTCTCAAGATCCCTGGTTCTGGAAGGGATGGTGGTGCTGGGGATTGGATCAGTAGYTGGCCTGGGCCCAAAAACATCTGGCATTGTGAATGCTAAATCATCTAAGTCATCTCCATTCTGGTGAAGATAGGAAGGTGCTACTGTACATTGGTTCCCAGTTTGCCATGTCACAACATTTTGTGAAAGATATTCCAGTCCTTTTACACTTTCACTAGTCAATCCATTGCTAGACTTCAAGTAGCTAGATTTCTCTTCATCTTGATTGTGATTTTCAGTCTTTTAATAGTTCCACACTTGTCACCTGGATTTTTGAGCCTGAGCCAGGCAGTGTGTGGTGTCAGAGCTCYCTCTTTGGCAGCTCCCTTTTTCCATCAGCTAGAGATGCCATCTCAGATGGTTGAGAGGTGGGCCTGTACAGACCTCATATAGTTCAGCAAGGCCCTGCACAGGGAGCTGGACAATTCCAGGCACAAATACATCTTGGGCAGAGCCTGATCTGTTGGAACTGGCACCGATGTGTGCCTGTCAGGTTTGTGGCAGCAATGGGCTTCTGTGATATTATCAAAACAGAAATATTATCAAAATATGGTAGAAATTTTCTCAAGAACTGCTTATTTACATAATTTGTTTCTGTGCAGACTCCACTGGTGAATGGCTCAGGAATTGGAGCAGACAGAGGGCTGGTGTCCATCCTTCGGCCTGARCAGACCATATGCACATGGTACCTGCGCTCCCTGGATGCTGGCCAGGTGCTCAGCACTGCCATCTCTATTCCCTACATGGAGAAAGGTACATTCTCATGGGGTGTCCACTCTGCTTAGTCAAGTGAGCTGTGGAATGAAGTTGACTTTCAGTGTTAAATGGTGGAAATCTGATGGAGATACCAAAAATATTTTGAAACGGGCTGAAAAAGTTTTTATTGTCACTGCTGAATTGTGAGTTGCATTTAGGATGTCCTTTATGGTCTTGCCATGATTTTGGCCTTAGAAAACTGTTGTGCATATAATGGAATCACAAATCTGTTTGGATTGGAAGAGGACTGTAAGATTATCCAGTCCCAACCCCTAGGCCTGGGCAGGGACACCTTCCACTATCCCAGGTTGCTCAGAGCCCCATCCAACCTGGCCTTGAACATTTCCAGGGATGGGGCAGCCGCAGCTTCTGCGGGCAGTCTGTGCCAGGGCCTCACCACCCTCAAAGGGTGAAGAATTAGATATTCTTCCTAATATCTAATCTAAACCTACTCTGCTTCATCTTAAAGCCATTCCCCCTTGCCCTGTCACTCCAGGCCCTTGTAAAAAGTCCCTYTCCAGCTTTCTTCAGGCTCCCTTCAGGTATGAGGAAGCTGCTGGAAAGGTTCCTTCYCCAGGCTGAAGAACTGCAGCTCTGAGCCTTTCCTCACAGGAAAGGTGCTCCATCCCTCTAATCATAGTCACAGTCTTCCTTTGGACTAAYTCCAGCAGCTCCACATCYTTCTTGTGTTGGGGTGAGGTCTTAGCAGAGCAGAGTAGAGGGGTAGAGCCCCCTCCTTCACCCTGCTGCCCACACCTCTTTGGATGAAGGACGCTGTTGGCTGTCTGGGCTGCAAGCACACATTGCTGGGTCATGTCAAGCTTTTCCTCAGGGCTGCTATCAATCCATTCCCGAGCCAGCCTGTGTTTGTGCTTAGGAGTGTCCTGACCTGTGCGCAGGACATTACAGAAGCTTGTATCCTTCCATTCCAACACTCCAGTCATTGTTCCCATGTGTGGGGACCTATCTCAGCCTGCAGTGAAACCCTTGTGCTGCCTGCAGGGCCAGAATCTGATRATTTTCTGTGATCAGCAAGTGGATCGTGCCTGCAAGTGCCTAACTGCAGTTATCTTCTCTGTGTTCTAGATCCTATTCCTGGGGGCTGCAATCTAGAATTTGACTTGGAAGTGGATCCAACTATTTACCTGGACTATACGTTGGTTGATATACAAATTAAGTTTGCCCCTGCAAACTTGGGATATACCAGGTGTGTGAGAAACTTCAGTGCATTGAGCAACACCTTTTAGTCTTGTGTTTGGCCAAAAGCCTAAACTATAGACCCTGTTGTAACAGCTGAACCATCCAGCTGCTGGCAGAAATCTTGTTTGCTGCAACAAATGTAAATGGGGAAAAGGAGGAGGGGAAGAGATACTACATGAGAGAGATAAAAGTTGAGAGTTGCATAAGCTTCCCCACAAGATGTAACTTCAGAAATGTAAACAGTCAGCAAATACTGGATCTTTCCATTCCTGGTAACAACTTAATTTGTTTGAGGAGCAATTGTGTGTTATAGCCAGTTTTATTTCTTTWCTAATACTGAAGCATGATAATGACCCAGGGTTTTGTTTCGCTTGAGACTTCAAGTTAAAAGGCATTATTTCCTGAATGTCACAAGTGATAGGCAAGGAATGGGAAAGACTATGCCCAGAGTTGCATGGAAAAACAAACAGTGATATTGTGGCTTTGGTTGTTGTGGCCTCTTGGAATTCCTGTTATGGCAATTCATAGGAAGCCTCTGTAAGTGCAAAGGTGGGWACCAGCTCAGGCATCACCTGTACCAGGGTGGTTCTGTGATGCTGCTGTGCTGTGTGCTCACAATCACAGTCCAGCTTTGAGTTAGCTGCTGGTGCGCACCTCTAAAGAGCAGAGGCAAATCCTGTGGACAGGAAACCATGGAAAACAAATGTTAAGGTCTGGGCRCTTATGCTGGGCACTTGGCTGATGTGTTTTTAATTGCAGAGGAGCAAATCCCCCCTCCTGTGACTCGGGGACTGGTCAGAACTCGCGGTGGCGGCTGCGCTATGATGTGTACCGGTACTTCCTGCCAGAGAATGACCTGTCTGAGATGGTGCTCATGAGCCACATAAGGAAGATGGCTGAGGTGCAGAGTATCAAAGCCAATGGCATTAAGGTGAGCCTGAAGCACTGGGGCACCAGCCATATTCAGTGGTGCTCTCTTATTCTCTCCTCCCTTGTGTTCATCGTCCTGGAGTAGAGATATAAGCTGGCTCCCTGGCCCTGCTGGGGAGTGGAATGGCAGCCTTGCCTTCCTCAGAGGCCAGACCTGGGTCAGCAGGCAGGTAGGGAACCTGAACTGTGCCCTCAGGTGGGGAGGGACAAAACRTAGTGGGAGAATCCTCTCCCATGTCAGAAAATACAGGAGTGCTGGAGGAAGGGCTCTGTCCTGTGAGCCTTGAATGCAATACAGATATTTACTTTTCCAGATGCTTACGCTGACAGCTGATGACAAGACCAATGTCTACTTCTCCTCACTTCCTGGACAAGGTGTGATCTACAATGTCATAGTGTGGGATCCTCTTTGGAACACTTCTGCTGCATACATACCTGTGCATACATATGCCTGCAGCTTTGCTGACCTGGTGGATAACTGCTCTTCTCTCAGTAAGTTGGGAATTGTATGGCCTTCCCAACTGAGCTGCAGCTCCAACATGCTGAATGGTTCTTTGAGATTAGTTTTTTCATGTGTGCAGGAGATCTTTGTTTCACACTGGGTATATTTTGTTATTTTATGATGAAGTCTGCTTCTTGATTGAGGAGGAAATATTGCTTCATCATTCTAGACAAAGGAGAATCATTAGCAATTGAAGGTTTCACTGAATGGAGGTTTAATTTGTGGCTTGCAAATGTAACTCTGAACTCTGTAGTGCTCTCTAGCTTGTTCCATTTGAATTAGATACATAATTTCAAATCATCTGTAGGACTCTTCACGCTGGATGTGAAGCAAAGATAATAAAACGCAAACTAGATTCAGCCAGATTTTTCTAACTGTRCTGGTGCTAACAAGGATCAGTAACCTGCAGATATTTTGAAAGAAGACAGTCACTTAAAATAAGCATGGAGGTAATGTCAGCAGTATTAGTGACTACCACGTCATGCTGCTTTGTACAAYGCTATATAATGATAGAATTTGTGTAGAAACAGAGCAAAGCTGCCACACCCATTCTGACTACAGAAGGAACTTGAATAACTGGTAAAATTTGGTTCATCAATTAAGATTTGTTCTCATTATTTTCATACATACTGTACACACAAGTGACTGTTGTCAAGCTCAGTGTTGTCTTATGACAACATAAGACAAATCACCTGGGCTAAACCTAATTCAGAGCACATGGAAAATATGATTTACTTCTTCAGATAGCTTAAATACAGGTAAGAAATTTRCATGGAAGACAGAGGTCAGCCATAATGGTATGCTGATGATCATTTTTGTTGCATGGACCATGTGTGAGAGGGAGAMAAATGATGAAGGCTGCAGTGTTAAAGACTACAATTGCTACCTCGGTCACCAACCCCATAGCACTGATTTTYATAGATGACTGGATGTCCCTTATTTGAAAACTGAGCAGAGAATTTCCAGGCAAAGTTGTATCTGTATAACAAACTAGTTGCATCTACTTAGTAACTAATTGGTACAGAAACTTCACTTCTTTTGAATAAGGAAGAAGCTCTTGATTTCTTAATCAGTCTGGGACTATTTCAATATTCTGTTGGAGATCCTATCTAGGCAACTGTTAGTTCAGGCATTGCAGATCKGACAGGGTAAAGTTTGTGAGAGCAACCTGACCTTCCCTTAGTCTTTTTGGTGGGACTACTAGGTGGAATGTTCTAGTAAACTTCGCTTTCTTCTTGTAGGTAAACTCTCTACCAAAGTATTCTTCACTGTTTTTGCTGTTCTTGGTCTTTTCACCTGCTTTTTTGGACACAGATTCTGGAAAACAGGTACTGAATATTTGTTTTTCCTCATAAGTCTGTTTGGAACTTCATAAATGTTATTCTGTGTAACTTAGAATGGTGGAGTTACTATCAAGATTCACTTGATAATGACGCTGTGCCAGTTAGGTCCACTGCTTTGCTTTTGTAGGATCTGAGCTTTTAAGCTCAGAGCAAGAAGTTTCTGGGATGCAAAGAACAGAAACTTAGAACTGAGGTGCATGCTGGGTAATATAGCTATAAATATGTAATTTTTAATTAACTGAAGTGCTTGTGGACACCCCTGTCCAGGACAGAGTATTGTCTGGCTCTCCTTTTGTGAGTTGCTATGTTCCTTCCCCATTGTAATATAAAGATGTCTGAAGATCCACTGAATTTGGCTTGGTATGAAACTTGCTAAATACATTTTCCTTCTTCTCCAGACTTATTCTTCATGGGCTTCATCGTCTCAGCGTTCTTCTTCTTTGTATTCATCACAAGGATAACTGGCCTTAGTTATGATGGTGAGTAGATGTGTCAGGATAACCTGTGCTCTTCCCAAACTCTTKTTAGGAACCCTTCAGGTGCAATCTCAGTTGTGCTGTTAACCAGCCACAGGAAGGATAGCAGGGTGATGCCTGGGTGCTTGAGCTCTGATTGCTGTAATAGCTGAATATGCGATAGAGTAAGTGTTGCTTTCTTCATCAAAGTGATGCAGAATTAATACCTGATATTAATTTCAGTAGCTATCCAGGAAAGATAAGAGGTTTCGGGAAACTGAAAGTTTGCAGTGTACTGTCTTCCTACTTCTTCCACAATGTGTGAYCTTTGTTTCAGATCAAAGGCAGGTTTCATCTGTAAAATAAAACTAGGTGGTCTGCACTCAGCTTGTTAGACTACACACAATTACTACTTTTGTCTGTCCCACCTTATAGAATTCCTTTTTTGACACTTGTGCAGGTGCTGTAGCCAYCTCAAATTCCTGGGAACTCATTGTAATTGATGTACATAGTACCAAGGCTTCATTCCAACCCCTGCCACTCTTTCAGCAGCACATCGCAGCTTTAGGCTGGTACCTAAGTSAAGTGCATGAAGCAAGTTCTGATACATTTGTTACCTCATGAAAACTCACTGAAAAAAAGCCAAACAAGCATGTAAATAAAGCAGAATGTGTTACTGCAGGAACTRAAGTTTCCAGAATGCTGCATTTTTCTCTTTTCTCTTTCAGTGCGTCTTATTTTGACRGCAGTGTCTGGAATTATTGGAGGTCTGCTCTTGGTTGTGAGCTGGTGGAGATTTGGCTCTGTCCTGCTCAGCATGTTTATTATTGGACTTGTGTTGGGATTTCTCTTCTCATCAACCCTCTTCTTTACTCCACTAGGTGAGCACTGAAATCCTCTGTTTGATGAGTGCTGTATTCCTGCTGTGCTACAGGGACACTGCAAGGCTCAAGGGTGAATGGCACTCTCTGGTTTATGATGGCACCCCATCATCTTAGTGGGATGTTTAGCTTTCTCTTTCCAGTGTTGGGAGAAATAGAGGTGTACCTAAACCCTTCTCTGAGCTGTGCTGTAACTAAAATTACTTGGGGAAAATGAAACTGATTATTTTGCAGAGAACTTGGTGAGACTCTTCTTACTAAAGCTTGTGCCATCTGTTGCACCATGTGTGCCATTTGTGACACCAGCTCTGCTCTAGGCATGCACTTGTTCTCTTGTTCTCTGTCCAGAACAAGTCCAAGTAGGAAATCTGCAGTCTAAGGTGGAGACGTCAGGCATAAAGGCCTTAGCCAAATTACTTAATAGTTAGTAAGCCTGCTAAGCTGGAGTCCTGCTGGGACACAGAGAATCAGCTGCACTTTATTGTATATTTCAGTCTCAAGACTTCTCTTTTTAAGGTCCCTTGGTGGGACAGTTYTTTATTCTTCAGTTACCTGTGTTTCATCCAAGCCATGATTCTGTGATAATCCATGCAGTCCATGGTTGCTCTTCATTAAAGTGGGACAGTTAATCAATTCAGCTTGTCTCCTCTGATCAATGCACAGGCCTTAGAAAACAGGGAGAGAAAAGAAGTGTTTGAGTGATTTAATTTTCCTAAAACCACAAGAATTTGTTGCCTGGTGTTGTTATGGCTATATCTGCACCATTCTCTGGAGTCAAACTTGAACAGATGCAAATTTTTAGCTTAGAAACCCATGTAGGCCATAAAGTGTCTTCTTATGGGACAGCAGTACTCTGGTACTTTTCATTATTAATGAGTAAGTGTGAGTAAAGTGTACTTGGTCAAAAATCTTTGTTCCRTGGACATGATCTGCTGCTCCAGAAGAGAGTACAGGATCTGTGCTCCATTGGGACAGTTTTTCTGCTCTTGAGTAACTGTTCCAGTGCATCTTTAGCAGTCAACATTTGAGCTCAGAAGTTGAGCTTTTCAACAATGTACTCCAGGTATTTCTGAACATACAGAATTTTGGGGGGGRAAAGCTTAGCCCCAACCACTTGCAAAAAGGGAATGTTTTTCTCACTAGCAAATGTGGTATCTTGGCAGGAGACTACAGGGTCTTCCGGGATGATGTGGTGTTCTGGGTGACCTTCACTTGTGTAGCCTTGTTGATTCCAGTGCTTTTTGTTGGCTGTCCAAGAATTGTAAGTAACTATGCTGTCATCTCAGGAGGGAGGGAGGAAGGCTAATCAGACTTCTTAATGCAAAATGTTGCCATGTGGGATATGTACAGAAAAGTTAGTATAGCTTTGTGAAGCTCAGCACAGAACCAGTTCCAGCAGTTCCTATTCAGCCCTATTTGTGCTTAATGGTCCATAAGCAAAGGAGTGGCTTCTTTTTTTTGCACATAASATACACTAAAACCTGTGTTTAGTTGACTTCTGCTGTCTTATCAGTTTGGCTGGATAACAGATGTGTGCAGCCAATTTATCAGAGAAGAACTGATAAAAATTACAAAATACTTGCCCAGAGAAGCTGTGGCTGCCCCTGGTTCCCTGGAAGTGTCCAAGGCCAGGTTGGATGAGGCTCTGAGCAACCTGGGATAGTGGAAGGTGTCCCTGACCATGGCAGGGGGTGGGACTGAATTATCTTTAAGGTCCATTCCAACCTGGGCCATTCCATGATTCTATGATTCTGCTGTCTTAAGGAGGTGGGAAATAAAGAGTGTACATCAGTCTCCTAAAGCTGTGGTTTTTCTCCCTGTCTAGCTGAACATCCTGGCCTGTGGAGTAGTGGGCTCTTACACGGTGATTCTGGCTATTGCTTGTTACGTCTACACAAGCCTTGCTTACATCACCTTAGACCTGCTCAGAAGGGTCCTCAACAATTACTTCAATAGAGCTTACACCAATGTGCCTTTCCAAAGGAATGGTAAGTCCTCCTGAGACTTTCTTCTCTTTTTAAGAAGGAATCACTGCCTCTTTGGTTTTGTTGTTAACATGGGTGGGAGCAGGAAGGGATGGGAGAACAGTGGGTGAGGGCAGGAAGGGATGGGAGAGCACAGTACAGATTTGTGAGATTTAAYAGCCGTGTGATAAACAGATGTGAGTACAGATAACAGTACAGATAACACAGATGTRAGATTTAACAGCCGTGTGATAAATTCTAGTCCTTCACAAGTAAAACTGAGTAGACTCAAAGGCAGGAACCTTCCTGCATGTGTTGTGACAAAGGCCTTTSTGAAAGGTGCTGCTCAGGCTTGGGCTGGCAGTTTGCTGAGAAGTTTGCAGAGTGGGCAGTCAGAGGCATAATACAGGGAACAGACTCTTTCCAACTCCCTGTGTGTCCTGGCTTCTGCATGGAGATACTCTGGGCATGTGAGGGTGCGGAGATGATACTTCTTCCTTTCTGTCTCTAAACTTGTTCAGTGTTTGTGCAAGAGAAAGCAAGGAATGTTCTGCTTTGCTGCAGGAATCTGTTTCTCTTTTTTCCAGATTTCATCATCCTGTCAGTGTGGGCAATGCTGGCCCTCAGCGGGGTCACTGTGCAGCTCCGCCGGGAGAGGAGTGAGGTGCCTTTCCCACCACATCCCTATCTCATCTGGAAACGGGAAAGGGAGCGGAGAAGCACCAATGTCTTAGACCCCAGCCATCATATCCCTCCTCTGAGAGAGAGGATCCACAACAGGCTGCTGCATATTAAAGAGCTCTTCCAGAAGAACCAGCCAGCCGGGGAGAGAACTCCACTGCTTCTGTGACTTGCCAAATAAATGGTGGGAACAGAGAGGGAGGATTTGGGAACGGTGAGATGATGATTACCAGCAACCAGCCAGTGGTGCAGGATTTACCACTGCTACTTTGTCCTGCTGAATAAGAGATTGCTGTTTGCTCAGCTTGGCAGAGCAGTATCTGTCCAGTACACTACATGCTGTTTGTGTCTCCTTCATGGTACACTCTGCCTGCTGTAACCTGCTTGTGTCCAGCTGCAGAATCCTGTACTTGTGGCCAAGGACAGGGATTGATCCTGTGGGGTCTACTTTGCTGTTGGGGTACGTGAAGTATCAAACAGGCCTTGGAAAGCAACCTACTGCTTGTCCCCTTTCATGTGGAAACCTCTGCTGAGGCAATGCCTGACATTACTTAGGATGGGCAGCCTGTCCAGCTCTGAGGGGAGGGACAAGGACTGGAGTTCTGCCAACAGGAACTGAGCATCTCCTTCTAATACAGGTACAAAATGTGTGGCTGCAGACATACAGGTTTCCAAGAAGTGTTACTRAACCTTGCAAGCTGAACTGAGGGACTTGAATTTAAACTGCACTGAGTTAAGTGTTGTATGTGTGCACTGTGGGGCTCAGGAATGGGGAGTGATCTGAGACAAGGTGAATTTTTCCTTTGCTTTTGGGTGGTTCTGTGGCAAATTGGTCATCTGGTCTCTGCAGAGATGACTGCTRAGAGAACACAAGAGGTTTGTCTCCCTGTTTGCTTTCTGAACAGCCTCTGTCTTGTTTCTGCTCTGATATAGTTTTTTTTGATGGTGCTGTCATCAAAAATAAGCTCTGAAATAAGCTCTATGTAGCCAATGGCAATTTTTTTTCCCCCTGGAGTTGGCTGAAACACTAATTATTTATTTTTAATCACCTTTTAATTTTGCCTTTAACCAGTAAAAACAGCATTCAGCTAGCAAAATACTGACCAGGATGCTTGCTGACAGAATGTGTTCCTTACCTCCTCAAATTGTATCTGCCCAAAGCAGAATGTAGTATAAAAACAGAGGGGGGACCGGTCTCATGTGGTGGCTTTATGCTCTTCCTTAAGAAAAAACTCAGGAGCCATATTCAAAATGAAACTTGAGCAAAGTGTTTTTGGCTCATGTAACTTCCCAAGCAGACYGGAGGCTGTTAAACCTGTGTTTACCCCCTGTGCCTACCCCTGGTGTCCAGTGGGATTTGTCAGGCACTGAAAGATGGCTGAAGTCTCGTATCCTGTACCTTGACACAGRTTATGGTGACTCTTCCTCCTCCGCCCTGTGTCTGAACCTTCAGTGAGAGCAGCCAAGTGCACAGTCCTGCCTGTGTGCAGGTGAGTTGCTGCTCAGGTGCCTGCATGGAGCCTCCATAAGGGAAATTCCCAGGGGTGGAAGCTTAAATTCTCAGCCACCACTTTAACTTCTTGGTAGGAAATATGTAAGAATTTCTCTTTCTGAGGAAACCGGCAAAAGAACTTTTTTGGGAACTTAATTGGAAGTTAAACACACTGGCATAGATAGGAATGGATGACCTAAAAATGGCTTTTCTTTAAGGAGTGATAGCTCAAAGACAGTGTCTGAGGTGACTGAACCCTTCTGATGTTTGAGAGACAAATCTGATCGTTTTTTGGAGCTGGAACATCTGCCTCAAACAGTAAAGCAAAGCTGAAATCCTGCAGTTTGGGTCTTGTTTCCCTGTGCTATTGTGTGGCACAAGGGGTTAAACAAGGAGCTCTCTCCTGGGTCTCTGCCCATCCTCCCTGCACTGATCTTAAGCATATCTCTGCCATGTGCGATAGCAAGCAGCGAATACTTCTGTGGTATAGAAATGCTCTTAAACATGTTTACCTTGATGGGTTTTTATAACTGCTGTCATTAACATTGTGCAAGAAACAAGTTTAACTCTAATTTTCTATATATTTTATAATAAAGATGTCTTTTCAAAGAACATTGGAACTAAAGGGGTCTCTTTGAATTCAATAATGCTTTYACAGTTTAGCCTCTGCCTTTGATCTTGTATGGAGAGTTTGCTTTTAAAAATTTTCTTCTTGCCAGGGGCTGAGGTGGGGGAGCTTGGCTGGCATTGCAGTGACACCCAGAGGCTGTGAGTGTGGCTTGTTCTCTCTGCAGCCTCTGAGGGAAGTGTGTGGTCCAAAGACTTTTTTTTTTGAAAGCCATGTCAGAGGAGGCTCTAGAGAACAAAGGAATGATAGTCATCCCTTTCTTGCCTGAAAACTGATCTGCAAGATCACATAGGAATCCTGYAGCAGAAGCAGGCTTTGAACTCTTTTTCTGAGATTGTTGGAGATTTGTTTCTTTTGAATTCTGCCACAAGATGGTTCAGGAATTTTCTTCCATAATCTCTAAGGCACAGTAAGTAACAGAGGTGATGATCAGGATGCACCAACTGATCCACTGCAGTGTTGAAGGGGCTTTTCAAGGCTTTTTTTGTGTACTGAGACAGTTGCCCAGGAAAACTGGATCCTACCCTGCAGTGCCTTGGTTCTGATTGGATACCAAAACTGAGGGTAAAGCAATGTTTAGTGTAAAGCTGCTTGAGGACCAAATCCCTGTTATTACTTAGCACAGACATCAGGAACTCTTCAGGAGAGTGTTTTTATTCTTAATTAGAGGCTAARGATAAGTGTGTTGTAGTGGTAGAATTGTGGATGCTCCCATCAGGGTGTGCCATGAAACTCAGCCAGCAACAGTGACCCTGTGGGATGTTGGGGTTTGCAGGTTTGGCTCTTTGAGTGCTGTGTGTGCAGAGGGAAGAACAGGAGCTTCCATTGCTGCTCTGGTGTCTCCTATGTCCAAGGTGAGRTCTGTTTGAGGTCTCTTTAAGGTCCCTTCCAGCACAAACCTTTCTATGATTCTGCAATTCCCTTCTGTCCTTGCCTAGAGCTGTCCTTGATCTGGAAAGGCTTCTGAAAAAGAAGCGCCTCCTGAGAGAGCAGTAGGCTTCATCTCAAAATGTGCATTTTTCACTGAGCCTTGGAGCTTTTCACCTCTCTGCATTGACCCATCAGCWGCTGTAGGTCTGCAGTGATCTTGGCAGTGTTCTTTGGGGTGAGCTTTAGTAGAATTTAGGTTCCTGGTTGGTTTATCCAGTGAAGAGTCAGCATAAGAAACAYTGAGCTTTTGGTATGCAAGGTGAGAATTATGTTAGGTCACTGTGTGCTGACTCAGGAGCTGGGATGGATTAATGTTTTCAGATTTGAATTTTGACAAACTCCATCTGGTTATTTCRTCCCCTCCAACATACTGGATTAGTCGGCTCTGGTGTCTGCATTTTCTCTAGAAACAACAGCTCCAATAACCCATCTGTGCGTTCAACAGATGCTTATTGTTTGTAGTATTTATTCTATTGCTCCCAGACCCTGTCTGCTCTAGCCCACAGCTCCAGGCAGCCAGCTGACTTCTGGTGACAGACTTTGTGCTTCCTTGCACACTGGGAGGAGTCAACTTCAAAGCAGAGCAATAAATTAACTCATTTTGGGGGCGAGAGAGCGTGGCAGGAGAAGAGGGTTGTGTAAAACTTCCCTGTCTGGTTCAGAACTGGGTGCTTCACAACTGCCTTCAGAACTGGTACCTCATCAGAAAAAGCACCAGTTCCAATTTTTTCCGTGTTGTCTAGTAAAACAACAGATTATCTAATGTACCCAAAATGAGCTAGGTTCAATTTTTTTATCCTGAATGCTGAGGGAGGGGGAAACGCCATACACAAGAAGCCAAGAAGCACAGGGTATCATAGGAGACAGCTGCTGTTTGCTTAGCCAGGARTGTAATGAGTTGCAGATGAGGAGTCATTAAAAAATTTGTTTACAGTGTTCCTGAACGTAGTATTGGAAAATGGAAAGTGCTGATCCCCCTTTCTGGGATTCATTCTGGTGTGCTGTATTGTTTGAGCTACCAAGAACTGACTTGTCAAAAACAGCTCTGATGCTGCTCACTGCTCTAAGAGCCAGCCTCAGGTGTATGGATAGGGGCATTTCTGGTGCTGAGAACACTGCAGGATAATAATTGTCTGTCATRCTTCAGAAAAGTAAACCTTCACCTTGGGACTGCAGCTGGAGTTCTGTGCGTTTCCCCYGTGCCACTGTTCCCTGGCTCCTGCCTGAGGAGTGCCAGCATGAACTTCTTCCAAGACTGCAATGATGAAGTGTTTCCCTGCTTGCTGGGCAGYTGGTTAAGGTAGATGTCAGGTGAGTCTTTTTCTGAAGGTGGAAAACAATGATCTCAGATACAAAGGCTGTGCTGGCTCACAATGTCCCGGGAAGGAAGGTGGTTGCAGGCAGCAGGAATTAGTCCTCTCATACAGTCTCTGAAGCAGTCTGTTCTACTTTGCAGCACACTTTAATTGTGGGAGGTCAGTGGTTTTATTTCAATGTGCCTGCACTGTCCCCAGTGTGAATGCACCTGCATCACAAATAAGAGAGGCGGGATGGGGCCTGCCCCCACTGCTGGCCCGTGTGGAAGGGATCAAACAGCCGGGCCTGGGCACGGTCTCCAGCACAGCTCAAGTGCTCCCGAGGGTCACGTCGGCAAAGAACCCTSTGCTCACAGCGGGGGGCAGCTGCTTCTGCCTCCAGAACAGCATTGCTGGAGCCAGGCCAGAGGAGGGAGACCAAGAGCATCAGAGGGATGGAGCAGCTCTACTGGGAGGAAAGGGGGAATGGCTTTACACTRACAGAGAGGAGGTATGGATTAGGTATTAGGAAGAAATTGCTCTCTATGACGGTGGTGAGGCCCTGGCACAGGTTGCCCAGAGAAGATGTGGCTGCCCCTGAATCCCTGGAAGTGTCCAAGGCCAGGCTGGATGGGGCTCTGAGCAACCTGGGATAGTGGARGGTGTCCCTGCCCATGGCAGGGGTTGCASTGGATGAGCTTTAAGGTCTCATCTATCCTCTCTCCTCGTGCTGTGAGTAGCACCACTGTGCTCTCTTGGCCACAGTTACCATTGGTCACACCCCACTCAGACTTCTGCCTCTGTAAAAAGAATGAGTGCAAGTTTTATACCCAAATAGTAGACTTGGAAATTCCTCTTTTAACCAGAAAAAGTGCTGAAGAAACTTCCTAAACCAATGTAAATTTAGTTTGGTTATTTACACAGATTCCAGTTCTTGCATGCAAACTGTGCCCTTAGTTCTGTATTTTAATATAATCTTCTAATCCAATGTGCTTGTTAAAAAGTTAAGGCTATTTAAAGCTTTTAGTTGTACAAACCAGCCCAATTTAGTTTCAGCCTGCCCTCAGCTGAGCAGCTGCCACATATGACAGTTTTGGTTGCCTTTWTTTATCTTGTGTTACCAACAAGGCTCAGTTCAGATCCAGTACCTTGCTTTAACTGTGGAGACATCCATGTTTTCAGTCAACTTTATTGATAAAATATGTTTACTGTACAGTACACAATTCTAGCCATAAATCCTTTTCAAGCCATCTGCATTACAAAAATAACAGGTATGCAATGAAAAATAGTCACCCCACACACTGTGAAGGCTCTTTAAAATCCTAATGTGTTCAGGACAAGGGAATGAAAGGGGAGGCTATCAAATGTCGAAACTAGGAGTAGATAAATTAAGTCACATTTTTTTTTTAGTTTACAAAAATAAACACTAATCAAGCATTATTTTGTAATAGAGCAACCTCAAAGTACTGCCACATACCAACAACCCTCTTCTGTATTCAAAAGATAAACCAGAAGTCAGCCATGAAGCTGAATTCAGCATCAAATGGATAGTAATGCCTCTTGACACCAGTGCATGGTGATTCCAGAAACAAGAACTTCAACAACTGAACCCAAAACTCCTTGTAAGTTTAAAACAACAGAACATTCAAGTGAAAAAAAGCTGTTGCTTCTGGTAAGTCAGCATCTTGCAMGCCACAGCAGAAATGCAAAATCTAAATTAGAGAAGCACTGGTGAGACTTTACAGATAGTAAAAGCAGACAGGAATATTTTGTGCTTGAGCTAAAATGTTCCCTCTTGGCTGTTTCAAAACTTTGGAAATGGCCATCACTTCTTTTCCATGCATGTGAATGTCCTCAGCCTATTTTTAAGCCTAGAGAGAAGCCAAGATGATCTGCAAAGAGAAGCAGCAGTTTCTCCATTTCTAAACCAGACAGTGAGAATGTGGAGACCTGATTTACCTCTCCTTTCAGCACATGTACTAGTTCACTGAAAACAAGAATTTGCTTCCTGCTAACAGTCTCTTCTAATTTTTCTCCTCTTAAAAGCACCACAGGAAGGAGTAGTAACAGAGACCAGAACAAAGTTACTGAGCTGCTCCTAAGTCAATTCAGTGACACTGAAAGCTCCCCCCTTAGGCCTGTGGAACATTCACCTTGAGCCAGGGAAGCTGTGCTGAGCCACAAAAAGCTGCATTGAAGCTGGCATGCTTGGAAGTGTTGGATGCTTAGTTCCTTCTGTTGTTGTCACTGAAAATCAAACTTGGCTAAGTGGGGGTTGATTTCAGGATAGCTCAGCTCATGTTGCTTGATGGGTTATTGAACAGCCAGAATGTTAAACTGTGGGTGGCAGGTGTAGTTCCACAGTTTTCTGTAGCTGACAGCTTAACTCTCTTTAAAACCTTCTTGATGACTAGTTAGTACTGAAGAAAGGAAAATTAAGACTAYTAATTGCAGGCTGCCAACTCTGTCATGAAGCTGTCCCCTCCTTCCTCCACCCCGTTTTCTGCTGCCACAGTTTGAATGCTTTCCAGTTGCCAATTCCCAGTCAGGAAGTTTGGGCAAGCAACTGGAGAACAAAGACATGAGACTCCTGTGGCTTCTTACTGATAGAGAACTGAGCTGGATTTCCTCTCCTAAAGGTAAAAGCTGAGGCAGAATTGCATTGGCACCTGTGGTCCTGAGAACAACAAGGTGGGAAATAGCTCTTTCCATATTCTCACAATACAATTCAGTGCACATATTTTAAAGAATCTCCTTCAATTTAAAAAAAAAAAAAAAACAAAAAAAAACACCACCCAAACTATTGATTCACAGCATTCCTTATGTTTAAAAATTGGGCTTATATTTGAAAGCAATACCCCAAGGCTAAATGACAGAGATCCTCAAGTTTTAGGCTGCATGTGTGCCCCTCCCATCAAAGAGGTTTGTTGCAAAATGAAAATTCATTAAAACCAAAACAAAAGGAAAAAATGCTAAGTAGACCATGCACAAAGCTTACTTGTAAGTTACTATTTTCTAGGCAGAGATCAGACTTTGAAATCTTACCTTTATTATCTAAGAGTTGCACTGAAACTTTGTATGAGCAATAATTTATATAAATTACTTGAAATCTCACCTTTTAACTGTAAAATGAGTTCATATAAAAAGAACCTGCAATTCAGCAAGTGCATTAATCCATTTCCTGCTGAGGTTAGATCTATGGCAATCAATCTGTCACAGAGGGTATTGCAGCATACCAGCTGAATTTATGTTTACACAGTGTAAAAGCCACTGAGCTGGAGTTGGATGCATTCTCTTGCTGGTGCCCTATTCAGTAACAAGTGCTTGACCAGTGCCCCCTGATGCTCCATTGGTTAATTGTGCAACTGAAGCTTGCCGATTCCCAGAGTCCTTAGCTTTTCCTCAGGCTCAGATCACTGCTTGTCACTAATCCTGACAGGGACGTGCTCTCTGATGCATCCTCTTTCTTGAGGTTCAGAAATGATTCTCTGGTGATTTGAAGAATTTCTCTCAAGCCTTTGTTTTCTTGCTAGAACCAGAGAAAGAAAAAGGCACTAATAGGACTCCAGAAAGAAATCAAGGTAACTGTTAAAACCTCCCCTTTACTTTCAAACGAATGCAATGAAATCAGTGCTGTGACATCTTCTACAAGTGAGAACATCAGGTTTCTGATCCTCCTGGATAGGCTTTAAGTATCCCTTCCTTGAGATTAAGCTGCAGTGGTGCTTCCCCTGCTCCAGCAAGGCAAGGGTAACTCAACAGCAGTGAGTGACTGGGACAGTTAGTCCATAAAGACCTGTCTTTACTCCCTTTCCTTTCTGTGCCCCTGCAGCTTTCTCCTCACCTCGAGCTGGGTGATGCGCTCCTGCTCTTTGCAGCCGTGCCTTTCATCCACCTCAATGGCTTTTCTCATTACTGCTGCCATCTCTGTAATTTGGTCCGCGTGCACTTGCAGCTCCTAAGACAGAAATATTTAGTAATGTATTAGGATTGTATTTCCTGAATTATTAAAAAAGGCAAAGCATTAAACATGTTTTAACACAAACCTCAATTTTGGAAAATTGTCTTTGCAGTGGGGACAGCCACAGCAGTCCTGTTCATTTAAACAGATCTGGTTTCCCCCGAGTGATCCCTTTCACTGGAATCTGAACAAGATTAACKGACTGTATCATCCCCAGCATCCAAATGACTAACAAATTGGTTTTGTGCTTGAGACCAAGCCTTCCTGTGCATCAGGAACTGATGTGTGTTATTTTGGATATGCAAAACCACTCAACTCCTCTGAGAACAGCAGGAAAAGCCACATTCTTTCCAGATATTTGAAACTTGATCTCCAGTACCAGCCCATGGACAGGTATTTCTCTCTAAAAAATACCAGGAATAGTGGTCATTCTTACTATGTCATATATTACAAAATTCAAACCCATCTTTCACTCTTTATTTTAGATACTTTTGCTGGAATCCACCTTCAAGTCCAGCTTATCTGGGCTCTGGACTTTGGAGGTTCAGGAAGAAGAGTCATTGCTGCCTTTCCCTGCACTGCTACATGAAGAGCCTTTGCCCTTCTGGTAATCATTGCTGCTCTGTTAAGCCATGGTATTTCCAGAAGCTTTCATTTTTCAACTTGTCTTTTATTCTAATTCTGCTGTGATGCTGCTCTAGTTGTGCATGCGCTGGCCTTTGGACAAAATCCACAATATTTATTAGCTAATATCAGCAAAAGCAGGACAGGAGGCCTGAAGTGAAGGACAAAGCCAAATCCCACCTTCACATGATGAGTTTGATGGGAGGCCCACACAGCTGGCAGATGATCCAGCTTGCCTTTAAATTACCACGAAGAACTGTCTTACTTGGAATCATAAACTTATCAAAACAAATACYCTTTGCTAAAATGAACATCAGCCCTTTCCTCTGTGCCATTCCAACTGTCCAAGCTATTGTTTAGTTATTTGTAATTTAGCTGTTGTTAAATGCCCACTCTAAATGTGAGGAGGTRGGGAAGAACTTGCTCTAAATCTTTATTTTCTTCTCAGTTTCCACTGCAGGTGATTACATAAAACATGTTTTTTTCAAATAACCCCTAAATTTAGCATGACAGGAAGCTGTGGTCAGGCAAGGATGTAACTTGAGAAGGACTGGGTAGGAGCTGAGGGATATACTGCTGTCCTCYCTGCTTCCTGTTTTTTCAGCTCCTCAGGGCTCTGGATCAATGCAACTTTGGGCCTGTTCCAAGGTCACTGGTGTTAAATCAGATCCTCACACAAAACTGGAAGGCACAYACGGAAAACTCAGATGAGGTAAAACCAAAGAATGCCATGAAAGTGAAAGCCTCAGTGTCTCTCTCATTTTTTTTGTACACATTGGGTTTTTTTTTCCAAAGAGATAAAAAGGGGCCGCACCCATTTCAAGGCCTTGTTTCAGCTAAGCAAATTCAAACACTATGTTTAGATTAGGGTGACTACACCTAACACTTTTTTCTTTTGCATACAACACTACCAGAATTAATTGGTTTTTTGTTTAAAGGAGGTGCTTGTTGATCTGCAACAATCAACGATATTGTAATAACTTGTAAATAGGAACTAAAATAACAGATGGCACTTGGGAAAACAGACACTACTTGCAAAAGGGAGCTTAATTCCATTAAATAATGGAGTTTTTACTTAAAAAGAGAGAAGAGTTTCAAAAGTGCTTCAAGATTGTTCAGTCTTCCTGACTGTGAAGGCTGTGCTAAAGAAAAAATAGTGAAATTCCAGAAATCCTAAGGGTCAGGGTAAGGGTCATAAATCCTTTTCATCAGGCATTCAGGTAGGACCAGGTTAAATGAAAATGCTGAAGCCTAAATCTCCTGTTCCAATTATGATGWGAGATATTTTTTCTTTTCTTTCTTTTTCCTCGAGGTTTTCCTCTGTGGAAGTGCTCCTAAATGAATGATCACATTCCATTTCAGCATGGATATAGTTCTACCCTCTTGTGTTGGTTCTCCTGAAGCTGTAGGAGATATACCATAATCTGAGGTAACTTCTTTGTAAATGATCCCAAACTGTCATTTTTGAAGATTTTATGTTAAAGATATAGCTCTAATCCAATAATTTCTTCATACCAATGGCACTAATTACACACATAGGATGTTGTAAGCAGGCAAGAAAGAATCAAATTCTTAAATTTTGTTTTCCTGGTTAGCAAACCCTAACTTTGCAAACTTGAGTTAGCTTTGCAAACTTAAGTTAGCTGAGATCAGTGATTATTAACACATAAAACTTACGTTTGTCTACATAGCTGCATTGATCTAATGTTTGTTACATTTTCAATGAAATGTAATACTTTGCTAAAAATCTCCTGTTTAAATRTGTTAATGACCTAGAATAATGAATTCTCTTAACATTTAAAAGTCCTTTTGACTGTTGAATAACTGAACCTACACTCCTGTTTCCTGCTTCACCCAGTTATTCAACAGTCACAGGGACTTTCAAGTTTTTTAATTTATTTACAATACATAGGGGGAAAAAAAAGAATATTCCATTTAAAAAGCTTGTTCCTCCTACTCTCCCTAAACACAGGTTTGCTAATTGTTTGTTGAGGTCACAAGCAAAAGTTAAAGCCATTTTAAAAGGAATATTACTAAGCTCTGGCAGTACAACAGGGCAGTTGCCTTAAAGATTGAAGTGAAACAAAAGTAAGTKGAGGAAATACGGTAATGAAATGCTACCTGTTGGAAATTTAAATAAATGAGAAGCCAGTAAGGTTCAACTGATAGTTTCCTGTTTGTATTGCATGGAGTGGATTATAAAAATTAGGACTCATTAGYAGTACAGTGATAGAAAAATTGAGACAAAGTAAGCTTTGAATTGATCCACTATGAACTAATTTAGGTCTTAACTAAAAAACAAAGAAAAAAAGCCTCAATGAAATTATTACCTTGGAATGTTGCTCTTTTAACTTCATTATTATACTTGGATCATCCTTTTTACTCGCCATAAGCAACCTAAACATCTGTTCTCTGTACTTGCTCATGATGAGTTCCAGAGCAGACTGGTGCTCTTCGAGAGATGTGCGCAGTTCTGCCAACAGAACTTAAAATTCAGTTAAGAATTTAACACAGAAGAACCAAGACAAAATGCACAAGTATTGCAGTTTGAGAAAACTAAAATAACCCCATCGCTGAGTGTCCTCTCCCCCTGAACCAGGAAATCTACACAGGCTCTGCAAATGGCTTAGATGGTGATCAGCCTGGGACAATTCCTGGTCAGTAACAAATAGTCCTCTGTTGGTGYGACTTTGTGTCCAATCCCTCTGGCTGACAAAAGCCATTTGCAGTGTGGCTCAGCAGCTTTACTCCAGCCATTAMAAGCCACATGGTACAAAAGATTCTGCAGGTTTACCAAGAGTTGAAATGTGCTTCTGTTCAAAATTTACTGAGTCAAGGGATAAAGAAGCCCTGAGACAAGGCAAGACTCATCTGAGTAGAGATCACTGAATCCTTTGCTGAATGTAACTGTTAGAACACCTAAAGCTCTCCAGGAAGAGCAGTGCATTCCTGGTCTACTGAATTCCAGAAGGAATTATACTACTATACTTACACCGTAGCTTGTTCAGACTACTCCTAGTAATTTCAGTACTGGGAAAACAGTTCTCCAAACATCTCCCTATATTGCAGAATTAAGTTCTATTTATCTCCTCACTTGTGCTGGGCATKAGGTAAGGATTGAAAAAAGTAATTTTTCCCAAATCTCTTTTTTTTTTTAATCAGTCCCAGAGGTTTGACTTTAGGACTCTTGAATTGTATTATAATCAGTTCAACTGACAATTCRAAATTAGAAGAAAAAATGTCTTCTGCAGCAATGTTTTGAAAAAAGATCAGTGGTAAAAGTCTCACTATTTCCAGTGATGCTGGCTGGAGCTTTAAAAGTATAAACTATTCAAATTTTACCTTTGTTTTCCTGTTGCAATTCCCTAATTTGTCTGTTTTCTTGCTGGATACCCATCACTAGTGTAGAGCGAGGGCGATGTCTTGCTACTTCATTGAGCTCTTGGATTTCTTCCTGGTACTGGTTATTAAAAAAACAAATCAACAGGGCAGAACATATTTGAYTAACCAAAGGCAGGCACAAAGCACCAGTTCCACTGCCAGTCAGAGTCTGTAACCASGAAGACAGTGCTTGCTTTAAATAATAATACCAAACACAAACCTGAAGGTATTGCAGACATCCTGTCCTTTAGAGACACAAAAGCATCACCTTTGTTTTTAAACAAGTTTCATACATTAAATGTGTGTAGTGGCTGTTATTTAACCTTCAGTTAACGCAGGTCAAGTTCACCATCAGGCAATTTAAAACTCATAGAGATGTGGTAAAGACAAACCATGAGGTATTAACCTCTCGATATTTAGTGCGGCTTCCCAAAACCTTAAACCACAAGGCTGTGTGGCTACAAGTCACACAGACCCGAGTCAGTGGATCCTGACTCCCAACAGATGGTAAATGCAATACTCTTGATCTGAAGCCATGAAGCCTCTGCATGACTAGTTTTACAGGGCTGAATTGCATGCAGAGTTTTATTATTTTATAAGCCTAATTACATATCTTGGGTTCATTAGAGTGACAGGATGAACTCCCATAYGAAAAGTCAGAAAACATCTTTACGTTTTCTCAGTTCTCAAGTGAAAGTCACACTCACTCTAACAACATGCCTTGGAACAGCATATCAGAATAGAAATGAACACAAAAAAAGCTGAAGAGGCTATTTGGAAACAAAAGGAAACACTGCAAAGACAAAGTATTCTGTACAGAAGAAAAAACTATAGAGCCTCTGTATGATTAAAGGGGTATRTTGAAATTAATGAAAATGTATAGTAATGCACTGTAGAGCAAAATATGAGACACCACAAAATGGTTTGTAGCTTATTTTTACCAAGCTTATTTTTACCAGTCCTTGAAATAAATGCTTGTTTTCAATATTAAAGCTAGARTAACTGCAAAAACTTTTTCACAGGCTCAAACTACATAAACTACCTATTTTTTGATGAGAGCCACACCTCTAATAAAAACACCAAGTATGCCACTAAAGGATTAACCGAACACCACGCTCGCTCTGAGCTGCACAGAAGCACACAAAGGATGTGAAGTGCTGTGCTTTCCTGAAGCAAGCAGAACGGGAAAGCAGACCTGTTTCATGGCTTCCACTCGCTTGTTGAGCGCCGTGGTCTGTTCGATGAGCGCCTCAGCCGCACTGTCGTGTTCCCTCAGCCGCTCCACCAGCGCCTTCGCATCTGCCAGCGCCTTCTCGATTGTGCAGCTCATTTCTGAACATGACAAAGGCAGCGTTTGCATCACAGCCCCTCTGCTACACAGACAACTATCTAGGGGATAGATCAGCCAAAGGCAGGGTACTGAACACAGGAAATCGGGGCAGGGCATGTGCTTCTGTTAGAGCAATACAGAAAATAGAAGAATATTACATGAACTCATTCATCTTTCAATGCTATATATATKTTTAAGGAGCTCTCCCAACAGACATCCTTCATAATAAGTGAGGTATAAATYCAGCACAAAAGAGAATGCTGAAGGATTACAGTGGCCTGGAAGATTCTRATGAATTAAATCAGCAGAGAAGGAGCAGCTCAAACTGACAGAGTAGAGAAAATTGCTCAGGGAAAATTTAGACGCCAAAAGGCTTGTGTTCTGTGCATGTCTATAAATGAACACAAACATCACTGCATGGAAAGGAACTGTGACATTTTCAACAGCATGGAGAAAGACACTAACTCAGCTAAGGAAAAGAACCAACTGCATCCTYAAAATTCCAGCCTTCTAACTGCAGCAGTTGTTAACAGGAATTATGTATTGCCAGTACTGCCAAACTTGCAAAATGCTTGTGCGTGTTGCCAAAAATACTGGTCTTTACACTACATTTTTCATATTCATGCTTGGTAGATTAGGTTTCAAGACAAAGATTTCCAGCCTAGGATCTTATTTTCTTCTAAGAAAYCTTGCACTTGCTCTACTGAAAAGGTAATCTACTCAAASTCCTTCAACAGCCCCAGCAATCAARCAGCAGGGATGGAGRTTTGTGAGATGTATGGRTCTTGTTGATATTAGGCTTAATATTTGGTTTAGGAAATATTCTAAGTTTCAGACAGAATCAACTAAATCAATTTCTTAGCTAGGCCATTTGCTAAAATAAAGGTTTTTATAACACTGAAGTTTGTGGAGTCTTTCCTGAGCCACAGGAAAAAAAATAAACACTTCAAGTTGATTTTCTAACTTTCTCAGGGACCTTTACAAATCATAGCCCAGGAGCCTTAAGCCAAGCTTAAGGAAATCCTCAAATTTACCTCAACTGACCTTTTGCYCCTGTCCCAGGTAAGTAGTAGAAGGAAGGATACTTCAAACACTAGACATTTAACCTGTGTTTTCTGGGATTCATGTGTTATCAAAATCACCACACTGTAGCACATGGAGGTTTTCTATTTGTCAGACAGCATTTTCATTTAACTTTCCATGTTATGTATTTGAGGTATCAAGGTCTTCAGCAAACTGCTGTGCTATCATGGATGGTTAATTTATTCACTCTGACTTGACAGTTTGAGCTCTTTCAAATATGACATGGAAAGGAATCAGGCTGCATTGTTTTTATGGATCTGCTTTCCTTGCTCCTCCCTGCAGTCAGATTTCCTACAGAAGTATCCCAGACAAAAGATGACCTTCCACACTAACTAGCTGAACTGCTGCAGAAATTGATTTAGTGAGATCCATGTTTAAGAAGAATCTGAGGAGCAGACTTTAACTCAACCCACAATCCAGGAATTCTCTGGCCAGCATAAACAAAAGCCTCTGAGGCCTCTCCATGAGCTGGGAATACATTTGGCATTCAGACTACAACGCACTTAACACCTCTGGTAATTTGTCTGCATTCACATAAATTTTTAAACAGTATATGTTTAATACATGCACTTTCTTGTTTTTGCCTYAGCCCAACCACACCAGAGGAAAAGAAGTTTGTTTGTGGCAAAGCCACTGGTGTTCCTTTTCGCTAGGAAGGAGTTGGGGAAGACATGTGGAAAGCAGCCCCATAAATTCTGCWGTGACTGTCCCCTCTTAGGCCAGCTCCAGTTTTCACACAGCATTTGTTCCTCAAAAAGCAGAATCATTGTTTGTATCAYGGTAATTCACAGTGGCCCCAAAAATTCTAGCTATGATACCTTTTGGGCAAGATGCTGGTCCTAATCCTTGAAACTTAAAATGGTCTCTGGCTGCCTGTGAAAAACAAAACCTTTGCCTGATCCTGAAACGGAGCTAAACCTATGAGTTAGCCCAGACAATTTAGRATGAAAAAACCCCAATTAATCAAACAGAATTGATTTAAGCAAATTCTTATCAAGTATTTTTTTTTTTTTATGAGCATGACTACAGGAATTGAAGTGAATAATTCCTGAACCCTGCCCTACCAGAGATGCCCAGTTGCACAGATGCTTGTTAGTGCAATCTTGTCAACAGGTAGGAGAGCAACAACTCAACCCAGCAACACTCCCACTACAYAGTCACTGCCGTCACTTCCTGCTATTTACTAATGGCTTTCATTATCAAATTAAAACCCAAAAARCAACATCMAATAATAAAAATCTMTATGCAACCACTGCCTTCMTCCAACTTTCTGCCCCTTCTTTCTTTTTTATCCTTACTGGAAGCCACCTTTTCCCACAGCTCGTGGGTTTGTTTACAACAGAGACCAGTCTGGCAGCGCTGAGCCAGAACGCTGGAAGGAATTCCAAGGAATTTAGGCTGGTGCCAAGGTCCCGGCGTGACAAGAGCATCCCGGGGGCGTCACCGCCGCACTCCCGGTGTGACAGGAGCATCCCGGGGATGTCACCGCCGCATTCCCGGTGTGACAGATCCCGGGGTGTCCCCTCCACACTCCCGCTGCGACAGGGGCACCCCGGGGGCGTCACCCCCGGGAGCGTCGCTTCCTGCCCCCAAAASGCGGTACAATCGCGACGCTGAGGCGCGACATTGGCACCTGTCCCGACACCGCCGCGACCCGACACATGTGAGGGGTCCCTGGCCCGCCCCGGCCCGCGAGTTGAGGCGGGGCAAGGGGCGTCCTCCTCCTTCACGCCCCTTRGGGCACCCCGGCCCTGGTGCGTACCAACGCGACTCCGCCGCGCTCCCGATCGCCTGGCGACGGCCACAGCGGCGCCCTCCCCATATCCCCAAACCGCTCACGGCACTCACTCATGCCCGGGACTCCGGCCGCGCCGGGGRTGAGCCCGGACCGGCCGCGACCGATGTCAAATGGCGGCGTGAGGGGCGGGCGCCGTGTCCCTTCTCCGCCAGGGGGCGCCTTGGGGCGGGGGCGGCACCCGGCTTCGCTCCGCTCTCGCGAGAGGATGCCCCTCCGCGGCCAGCRGCCCCAGATCTCGCGAGAGGACACCACGCCCGGGCGTAGATCTGAGTCTTGCAGATCTGAGCAGGGCTCTGAGCCTGACCTCGGGATTTGTGTTAAATTGTTCATCAGCAGCTCTAGCAGGACACGTAGGATTAAGCAATTGCATTGTGAGTAGGTTTAGATTGGCTTTTAGGAAGAAGTTCTTCCCTGTGAGGGTGGGGAGGCCCTGGCACAGGTTGCCCAGAGAAGCTGTGGCTGCYCCATYCCTGGCAGTGYCCAAGGCCAGGCTGGATGRGGCTCTGAGCAACCTGGSATAGTGGAAGGTGTYCCTGCYCATGGCAGGGGATGGAACTGGATGGGSTTTAAGGTCCCTTCCAAGCCAAGGCATTGTGGGATTCTATAATCGTAAACTTGTGTAATCCTGTAAGAAAAACGGAAGACCGTCAGAAAATGAACGGGCATTGTGGCCGACAGCTATCAGAAGTGAAGTTAGAAGGAATGAGGAGTAACTGGGTAAAAGTTAATTCCGGCAGTGGGCGACCGCGRCCACCGACTYCCTACTAAAAACACYYCAGACTCAAATGGAGAGAASTCCACGTGCACACTCAKGAGCGGAAGCCAGAGATACACTCARTAAACAGGGTTGAGTACTCATTAATAGACAAATTACTACTTGCAACCCATGTACSCTGATGCTTGTTAAAGTGCATAAAYAGTGTGAAGTTTCGATGACCGGGGAGCCTTCTATGTGCACGTTAGAACCCAGAATTCCTTCTTAAACCGAAATAAAACACGGATCTCCCGCCCCTAGGTGTGTGCGCTGCGTCCGCAGATCTCGTGAGAACACGGCACCCCCGCAGGTCCGCCCACAGGCTGTCCCCGAGTTCTCGCGAGATCGCGGCCAGCGGGCTCCTCCCC